CTAGACTACAGTGTTATCATCATATGTTGTTATATTTTTAAAATGACTCTGTGTATCAGTTATTTGTCCTATAAAATAGAAATTATTGTTTTTATTATAGAAACCTGTTTAAAAGGGCTGAAATTAACTTTCACCAATTCAAGGACAAATCCTAACAAATTGCCCAATATATACAAAAGAAATAGGTTTTCCCTCAACATTCTAAATTCTATTGTCACGAAAAAGTGATTGTTGGCTGGCTGGTGGGGATGGGAGGTTAAAACTACTTTACAGGGACACAAATAAAATCCTGGACTAAGGCCTCATTAGCATGTATAAAATGTCTAGAGCTGAGGTCCCTGTCCTCCCTACCCACATAGCTGTGCGGCCCAAATGTACCACACAGGCAGATGTGACTGGTTCCATACCAGGTAAACGGGGCTTCGGTTGTTGTCCATCGCAGGGATGCCAGTGAGGACCTCAGCTAACACCTAGAGAAAACAGAAGATGGAGTTAGCTCGGTCCAGACACTCACGCACAAGGTCAGGCAGGAGATTCCGGCCAAGAGAGAAGCCTCTTCTCGGTTGCAAAGTCTGAGCTCCAGGCCCAGCTCTGCCATTTGCCAACAGAGACACTTGCCCAAAATCTGGGAAATAGGAATATCGCTAAACACTTCCTCCAATTAAAGATGCCACACCCAACTGCCAGTGGAAGGTTTTAATAAATTGACAGCAAGGCAGGGAGGATGGAATTCAAAAATTCTTGTGTGTGTGTGTGTGTGTGTGTGTGTGTGTGTGTGTATGTATTGCCATAAGTTTTATATATGTATAAACACACATATAACTATATATACACACACAGTATTTTTTAAAGATTGTTCCACTTAAAAATATATCAGCAATGGCAAGCAGGCATTGCTCTGTCAATCTCAGGGAAAGAAGGAATCCACCTGCAGGTAGGTATCTATTCTACACAGAAAGTCTTGGCAACATCTATAGCAACTTTCTTCCATAGGACTTTGTTAACATTATTTATTCATTAAAGCATCCACTCACAAAAGGAGCACAGCCCTGTACCCCGATAAGCCACCATGAAATTGACGACCCTAAAAAAAAAACAAAACAAAAAAGAAAGAAAGAAAGAAATTGACAAACCTGCTTTGAACAGGAATTCTCAGCAGACATTAACAGCATGGTGGTTAAGGGTCCTACAGCCAGACAGTCCTGGGTTCAAATTCTGACTCTACTCCTTACATGCTCAGGTGATCTTTGAGCAAGTAACTAAAATCTGAGCTTCAATGCCCTCATTTGTTAAATGGGGATCTAGCAGCTGTGAATATTAAAGGAGTGACTAGCCTACTCCTTTAGAGAGAGAGTGAAAGCTCTCTCTCCCAGCCTCTCTTGAAGCAAGTCAGAATAGGGTAACATTTACTGCCAAGAATCTCTCCAAACCTGGAGGAAGGGAAGGATAGTGCTTTGAGACCATCCGAGCCTGTGGGGTTAATAACGGACTGGCGGTGGCAGGGAGGGAGCAGCAGAGGGCGCTCCTGCAGCAAGTGGGTCAGGCACCAATTGACAAGGGACTCCTGCCCACTGCCAGGAAGAAGAGAACAAGGGCAAATGAATAAACATACATTTCCTCTGCCACTTCCACGTGGCAGGCTCTGTGCCAGGCCCTGAGAAACGCACTGTGCTCCCCACAGGAGGAACCAAAGTTCAAAATCATGACCATAAATCAGTGGCAGGGATAAGAAAAAGGGTGAGGGGAGGCAGTGGGCACTCAATGAATGAGTGAATGAATGAGTGAGGAAGTCAACTATGACACCGAGAGCTGAGTTAGAAGGTCAAGGGTAAACAGATATCCGGAGTGAGGACATGAAGGTAGGAATGACAGTAGCCACAATAGTGACAATATTCTCTGTCCGTGCAGGGTACCGTGCTAAGCAGTATATGTACCTTATCCCCTTGCCTCCGTATTATCATTACCCTCACCTTACAGAAGACACAACCAGGCCCAGATAGAGGTGAAGTACCATAGGTCACACAGCTGGAAGTCACATAGCTGGGGCTAGGTGACGGTGCCTAGCGGCCTAGGGGTTCAGTCCCCTGGTTCTTAGAGGAGCAGGAGCCTGGGCTCACCCTCTGAGCTTCACTGAGCAACTCAAAGTAAGGTTGAGGGAGGCAAGGAAACCAAGAGAGCTGGACAGGCTGGGAGACCCAGGGGCGCAGAATCTGGCATTAGGGCTGAGGGCAGAAGGTGGCTCAGGGCCAGGGCTCTAGTGGCAGCGGGGGACAGACAGGAGACTGTGGTCAGAGGGAGGAAGTGCAGAGTTCCAGGCTAGAGAA